TTATTTATAGATAAATAATCAAGGGACTACTTAGTACTTAACGTAAGTACATCATACCCAAGTGACCATTAAAGTCATTAGGCTTCGGGTCTGACCAACGAACTCAAACCAAGTAGAAGGATTGTGTCCGTTCACGTTTCACGCAGCGCAATGGCACCGCTCGAGTGCGCCCGCCGCCATTTTGCGTAGTACAGGAAATCGCCTGCGCATACGTATTGTGTACAAGCTCCTATTAGAAACCAGGGTTTTATTGTTAGTTTTGGTGAAAAATATCTTTACATATTTTGTTTATGCCCTTTTCCAAGTCCCATACAGATGTTTGATGACTTGAATATTAGAATAAGAGCGGCAGCTTGGACAATAGGGGAGTTGAAATTTTAGGGTTTTTTTTGCATAAAGACTAATAGAGCTAGACTATTTGTTAAATATCATTTGTGGTATTAGGCTAGTTTTGTCTCTTTCTGTGATAGAAAGAATATATCAAATTATATAGGCTCTATCTATATAAATCACTCCCACTTTCTCTTTACACACACTCGTAAATTCTCAGTCTTTGTGTTTCTCTTCCCACTCCCCCTCTCTCTATCCCCTTCTCTCCCTCCCTCTCTTTTTCTTTCACACTCCCCCTCTCCCCTTCGTTCTCTCTACCCCTTTCTCTACTCCCTCTCTCTTTCTCTCTATCCCCTTCTCTCTCTCCCTCTCTTTTTCTTTCACTCTCCCTTTCTTTCTCTCTTTCTCTCTATCCCCTTCTCTTTTTCTCTCCCCCTTTTTCTTTCACTCTCCCCCTCTCTCTTTTTGTCTCTCTCCCCTCTCTCTTTCTCTATCCCTTTGATTCTTGGCACTGCAGAAGTAGGCCCACTGAATATTAATATTATTTCTTTTCTTTCCCTTTGGAGGCTACCATTTAGCTGCCAGATATTATTTTCATCCCATATAGGCATATTAAAGATTTATCTAAGAAGTGTTAAGTAATGACACATTGTGGCAACTATTCACATGTCTTTCCACATAATTGTGAATACTTTCATCTTTATTAAGTTTTTTTTTTAACCTTGGCATTGCGCTATGTATTACATGAATGTATACAGTACATATCAAAACACCCATGAACTATTGCAATGGTGGATATGAAGAAAAAAATCCTCAATGGTGTGGAAAAAACGTTCCTCAAGCAAGCAATCATGGCACATTATGTTTATACCGGCACATTTCTTATTCATTTTAACACACAGAGAAATTGCATTTGACTGACTACAATGAACAAAAGGCAAGATTTCTCCCTTTTAGCACTCAAAACTTGAACATACTTCATTAAAAAACTAGACATCAACAAGATATAATACATATGAATCAGTATTTCCCTCTCTTTGGTTTGTTCATGAAGCAATGTATGGATTCATGTGATTTCAGTGAAAACTTTTAAAACAGATTTTTACTCTAGATGAAAGTTGCAACTTTCATTTAGCTCAAGCTCTTTCAGTTGGTAAACATGGATACAACCATTGCAACTACAGTTTGAATTCAATAGTGTAGAATAGATGACACTGCACATCAGTGAACAATAAAATCATTGGACAATATTTTATAACAAAACAGGGATCGTTTGCATACACCGTAAACCTCTGTATACAGATTTTCATACAACATAATGAGTCACTTCCTTATCTAATTTGACGAAACAATTTGTTTGTACACACATGTATGTGGCACTATGCCATCACCGAAACATTATCCATTATCAAGAAACATTTGTAAATAGCTTTGGGAACCATAAGTGATCAGAGTCAAGTTAAAAATACAAAATTTAAAGAAAATCCCTTTCCCTGAAACACGTTGACAATAATCCAGTTTTTTTTTTAAAATTTCTTTGATGCCTCTTTCGCAAATTCTAATCTCAAATCTAATTTATGCAATCAGATTCAAACTATACCTAAACCTGTCAGACAGAAGACAGGCTAGTGTCAATAATAGAATCACACAATTCCTTTCTCTCTGGGTAAGCCTAGATGTATAAAACACAGAATAGACCAATAGGGCAAACATCGTAATAAATATCGTATACTATATCCCTGTAGTGCACATTCTGTCATTTCATTGGGAAGGAGAAGATGAAATAGTCTGTTTGAATTAGTATATTTATTTCATCAATGGTGAAATATTATGTAAAAAATACACATAAATAAGATTGACCAATTTTTTACCCTTTTACAGCAGAAATCCTCAAATATTTCAAAATGTATATGTCTTTAAAGATATACATGTACCAGAATAATGGGAGCTTCGCAAAATATTGCCTGGTGTTTTTTGTCTTGATTTGTATTTCAAGTGCTGTGCTTTACTAGGCCATATGAAATCACTACATAATCTACACATATTCATCTGAGGAGTAAGTTTTAGAGGACGTAGGAAGGTTCATGCAGGTAGCTTCTTTAACTGCCATGACCGACAGGTCGTAACTTTCACAATGACCAACTTTGATGAGTAAAATTTCTTGTGTTTTACAACAATTTAAATGTCCAAATTTAAGGTTTAAATTTTGAGTAAATTCCAGTAAATTTCTTACAATGATGCTTGAAAGTCTGACGAATCACGGGAAATTGTGTCACTATTAATACCAGCGCCGCGATGCAACATGTTCATAAGTTCAAGTTAATCTTCAAAGTAACTTGAACCAAGTTTCACCAAGTCAAACAAAGAAAGTGACCTGCTTATGCCCCAATGATTCCCCCCCCCCCCAAAAAAAAAAACACAAAACAGTACAGTATTCTCTGGATATCATGTATTCGATATTATCGGTTTATAATACTTTGCAGCTCTGTGGAATTCAATATTTTTGATAGTTCATAGCCGATGTCATTGAACTCGAGCGAAAACAGTTCACAAACATGGAAATGAATAGATGGGACCGATGTACAAATACACGCTTTAGTCTGTGGCTTTCTGCGTTCGGATTATCATGCAAAACTGTTTATTTTTGCCATGTTTTTAATGAAGTGATCACTATATGAAAGGTTATTCCTATTTGATAAGCATAGTAGCATACACATGCTTTAGCAATCACGCAAAACACACATTGTCAAACCATTATTCAATAAAATCTGAGAATGTATACTATTATCTAAGTCTATTATTTTTTAATTATTTTTAAAATAATTCCATAAATTGGGGTAAAACAAAAATATTTCCACCTATATGAGCGAGTGTACATTTTATATATGCCGATATTAAAATTCCTTATTTTTAGACAAACAAATGTGGCGCAGGGGAAGAATTTTCCCCATCCACTCTCATCATACCTTAAAAATTCCCTTTCTCTCTCTTTCTCCGCCTTTCGAAAAATATCTTCTGCAAGGTTTCTTCTCTTGACTGAACAACCTGTTGCAATTCCTTTCTGTCTCACTTTTAGTCGTACTTGTTATTACCACTAATTTGCATGCACTCGCTATCAACTACGATCAACCATGCCATATTCACTCATTACTGTCCAATTCACTTGGATTCTCTTCACTTTTTCTTTTTGCAGCCTTTGCAGGAGCTTTAAACATTTTTAATGTAGAGACCAGAGGGACCGGAAAGTATGTTAATCATTATTCAAATGTTCTAACTTGAAAAAAGAAAAGTGAAACATTGTTTAATTTCAACATCTTGACATAAAAGATTTTTTTTATTAAAGACAATTGAATTTAACACTGGAAATTTTGAATTGGGTTGTCACCCCCCCCCCCCCCCCCACCCCCCAAAGAAAATACAACAACAACCCAGAAGTGGTACCCGGGTTTTAGTTAGGAGGCCCATGTCCGGTATGATTTTTATTTTAAAGAATAATTTCTCTTTTTTATTAATTTTACATTGGTATACCGTAAATTTCACTAGGAAAACTATCCCTTTCCCTTAAAGGTAAAGACCAATATTGGAAACGCTCCAATTTCAAAAAATGAAATGGAAGCTCTTTATTATATTACCAATCATGTGAAAGAATATGTTTTGACTAATACATGATGATAAAAAATTTGCCGGGAAAACTGCCTACTAATTGATATATTTGGTATATTAGTTTATCTATTGGGATGTGAGAGATAAACGCACGTTTAGTGCTTGTTTTTACGAAGACTGGGCCAAATTTATTATCATTTTAATGATTCCAGAACCTTGCAGTACACACCAATACTTATGCTAAATGATCAACCTTTTCTGATCGATTCCACGTTTCTTTCACAATGCAATCGCATGACCATAACTGGTCTTTATCTTTCACAACCAACACTGCCATTATACTTATATTATTACTTCTAGCAACAGAAATGCTATAATTCATAACGTTTTCACTTTCTAAATCCTTCTTATATAAATATATGATAAACTAATGGGTGGTATTCTCTTAAGTTAAGCCGGGACTAAGTCCAGACTAAACAAGAATTTTAGTTCGCAATTCTATGGAATGCTAGGTTTCATCTTCCTCCTTCAATGTTCATGACAAAGATAATCTACCAAGGACTTTGTTGAAATTCAGTTTATACTCATATTATCTTTTTCTTCCTATTTCAGTGCAAAATTAATTTTTTGGACACTTTTCATTGAAGGATTAAAATAATCTGTTCAGGGTAAATTAGTTCACAACAGGCACTCCATAAAAGTGTGAACTAACTAAGCACGCGCTAACTTAGTACGGGCTACCGGAATACCACCCAATATTGTTTACACTTTTGCAATCAGTTACATGGTCCATGTAGAAACAGCACCAGGGAGAGGATAGCAAGCCCCCCCCCCCCCTGTTTTCTTTAAGTTAGGAAGTATCAAAACATGATTCTATTAAAATTAGTAGTTTGAATACGAAAGGCAATGATGAAATGGCAGTCTTTCCATGTCTTTCTATATTTAATGCATTTAGAGGGTTGACTTTCAAACCTTCTTATACATACAATACTTGAAGCAGCAATAATGTAATAATTTACATTATTGTAATTATAATTAAAATATCATTGATTAATTCAATCTTTGATATAGATTGATAATAATAATAATAATAATAAATTACATTTATAAAGCGCTTAATTCAATGTTTCTAAGCGTTTAACATACAAGTAATTAGATCTTTATCACTCAAATTTCAAGGAAAAAATTTCTGCCCAGTCCTCCTATAAGATGGTAATTGACATTGTTAAAATTTTAATGTTCTGTAATAATCTGTAATTATTTAAAAGTTGACAAGATGATAAATTCATTAGCTTTATTGAATGTGGTATTCTACAAACATATAATACTAATAATAAATAAATATCATGTAAATACTCAAATTTAAACCCATCTCTACTGTCCTCTTTCATTATATGAGGGTGACATCTTTAAGACGTAGTCCCATGTAGATGTCTCCTGCATTCATCAATACAGTTATAGCATAGTTTTCAGAAGAAAGGGCTGTAATGATAACCCAAGTCTGTTGAATTGAAAAATGAAATAAGATACAGTGTATAAGAAAATCAACAATGACTAATAATAATACAGACATTTATAACGTGCAACATATCCACCCAGAGGGTGCTCAAGGCGCTTACAATGAGCTACATAACATACACCCTGATACCTAATAACATACACCCTGATACCTGCTATGACAAAATGACGAAGGACTGAAATTCACTTGGGGTTCTAGAGGGCAAACCCAAACTATTTATCCTACAAGACTAGTTACTGACCACATCTTAGATTATTTCTGATGATCCCATTAAGACGATAGGCCTGCTGGAGCTTGGATCAGACAAGGTATGAAATAACTAATACGTGTACAATGTACTTGTATTGTGAACTTGTGCTCATCATTGAATAATACTCGGTCAAGTATGGGACATACATGTAAAATGACCCAACAACTTGGACCAGAGAATGTACTGGAAATAATGCTACTGAAACATACGTTATGTAGACTTATATTTCATCTACACTGTTGGTCATAATGGTGGAATAATTTTTTGTACCCCAATTTTTGGAATGATTTTGACAATAATTCATTCCTAATAGATCTAGATAATAGTATACATTCTCGGATTATATTAAATGACAATTGGGAAGTGTTTGTTTTGCGTGATTGCTAAAGCATGTGTGTGCTACTATGCTAATCAACTAGGGGACCTACGTCCTTAAGTCATAACTGACAGTAATGGGGATTAATGCCTCATAAAAGGGCACTAATAATGCACATCGACACGGTTTTTATCCTGGGGGCTCACAGTAACGAGGCCATTGCTTAGCCAATGAATCATGACTGTACGCAGCGGGCGCTAGGGTACATCGAAGCGCCACTTGCTAATCAAACCACATTAGCTTTCGCATCCTACCGGGTACCCATTTTAACACCTGGGTGGAGAGTGGCAAATGTAGATCAATGTCTTGCCAAAGGACATTAGTGCCGCGGCGGGACTTGAACCGCGGACCTTGTGATCCACAGTCCGGTGACTTATCCACTCGACCACGACACCTCTAAAAGAAAGAAAGGAAAAAAAAGAAAAGAAAGAAAGGAAAAAAAAGAAAAGAAAGAAAGGAAAAAAAAGTAAAGAAAGGAAAAGAAAGGAAAGAAAAGAGAAGAAAGAAAGAGAAAAAAGAAAAAGAGGGAGGAGAGGAAAGAAAGGAAAAGAAAGAAAAGGGAAAAAAAGAGAAAAAAAAAGAGTAAAAGGGAAACAAAAGAAACGGGGGTGAAAGAGAGGAGAGAGAGGAGAAGTAAGAGCCTGAGAGAGGAGGAGTGGCAGTAACAGCAAGAAGGGGGTTGTTGGGTGGAGTCGTCTCGTTGAGGGAGCAAGAAAGACACGGGTAAATATGTTGCTATGTCGGGTCAGCTGTGTCGGTATTCTTGCTCGATCCTCGTGTACTATATCAATGCAGAAGTTTGAAGTGTATGATGTCGGTCGGCCGACAAGTTTTTTTTCACTACAAACTTTTTATCCGCTGTGACGACTTCAAAAGTGACTACAACTACAATACTTGTATTTTCTCGAAGTTTCACTTTCCTATAATATCAGCTAAAGAAATCAGAGGTTTAAAATTTTTGGGGAAACTAAATTCAAACAAGGTTAAGAGTCAACAACGGTACGACGAATCGTCTTCCTTTCTCTATATTGTGATGAAACGCCCCCAAAAAATACTGAATTCAGACAATTAAGGTTCAAGGTTCAAGGTTCATTTTATTTCTTTCTTTCACAACATTTTTACATATAATAGAACAAAAAACAGCATAAGAAAAAACAATTTAAGTGCAATTTTAAGTCGATATATAATCCAAATGAAAGAAAGTGGAGACCTTAGAAAAGCTGGGCTTAAGAGCAAGGTCCCCATATAAAATAATCCATCAATGTTTCACTTTTAAAAAATGTTTCAAAGTTATCAAAACTACACATGATTAAATATGGGGGAAATATTTACAAAAGGGATAGCTTGAAATTTGAAAAGGAGAGGATGAAAATATATACAAAGGAATCGAGAGGAAAAAAGCAAACTGGAACGAGAAAAACAACAAAACAGAGAAAAACAGAGAAAGAAGAAAGTTATATGTATATAGGGGAAAATGGTATTTGGTGTAAAGAAAAAGAAAAATAGAAGAGAGGGGGAGGGGGGGGGGGGGGGAGAGAGAGAATGTGAAATGCTGACATTTATATTGAATAATCAAACATAACAAAAACAAAAAGATAATGCACGTTATTAATAACAATTTACAAATTATTACCTAATATCATTTCTGGTGATATAATTTTTACGTTAATTGTCGACATAGTTACTCAATAAATGTAATTTCAATTTGCGTTTAAAAACAAAGACACTGACAGATCTAGTTACATTGATAGGAAGTGAGTTCCAAAATTTGGGACCAGTACAAGCCAGCGTCTTCAGAGCAAAAGCAGTTCTTACACGTGGAATATGAAGTGTAGTTGCCTGCCTTGTATTATAGCTATGAATTTGATTGTTCCTTCGAAATATTTGTACTAACGCATTTGTACTAACGCATTTGGGAGAGTACCATTTTCAAAACCATACATAATTGCGCCTAACTGTATAAAGTAAATGTCTTCAACCTTCAAAAGCTTATTACTGTAGAACAAAACATTAGTATGAGCACGATAGCTCGCATTAAAAACAACTCTAACCACCCTCTTTTGGGCAACACAAATCTTATCTAATTGTGTTTTCAATGACTTCCCCCATGCCAGCACTCCATAATTGAGATAAGGCAAAATTAAAGTAGAATACAAAATAAGCAAAATTTCTTGTGGGACAAAAGAACTTAATTTATAAATTACACCAGTATTTCTAGACACGACTTTACAAATATTAGTACAATGAGATGCCCAAGACAGCTTCTCATCAATATGTAGCCCAAGAAACTTGGTGGAAGTTACTCTCACAACGTTAACATCATCAAAAAATACATTTCCAGGTACATCCTTTAGGGAGTTACTAAAAAACATATAGTTTGTCTTTTGAAGATTCAAGGACAACTTATTTGCATGAATCCACAAAATAACTTTCTTTAATTCAATATTAACTGTATCTAATAAAACTTCAGGGTTTTTATGAGAAAAAATACACTTGAATCATCTGCAAAAAATATGAAAGATAGTACATCAGATGAAAGATAAAAATCATTAATATATAATATAAAAAGAAGGGGGCCAAGAAGAGACCCCTGAGGGACACCACAAGATATAGTTTGATGACTTGAGTAAGTCCCATTTAATGATACATATTGTTTTCTGCCTGTTAAATAGCTCCTGAACCAGCTAAGAGCAATGCCCCTCACTCCATAATATGACAATTTACTTATTAAAATTTCATGATCAACCGTATCAAACACCTTAGAAAAATCCAAAAATAAACCAATTGTATGAAGGTGACCATCTAGTGCTTGAGCTATTTTATCAACAAAGTGTAAAATTGCATGTGTAGTGGTGTGCTTTTCATGAAAGCCAAACTGGAATTTTGAAAATATTTTAGTCTTTTTTAAAAATATCACTGTTCTATCATATATAAGCTTTTCTAAAAGCTTTGAAAAGGATGTCATGAAATGGGTCTATAATTACTTAATGTTTGAGGATCACCCTTTTTAAATATTGGCACTACCTTAGCAATTTTCATTTGTTCTGGTACAATACCAGTTAAGAAAGACAAATTATAAATATGAACAAGTGGTATCACAATTCCATGTATAATATCCTTAATTAATTCATTTTTTATGCCATCAAAGCCAGGACTCTTATTACTTTTAAGCGAGCTCACAAGCTTAAACAATTCTATTTTATTTGTGGGCATTAAAAACAGGCTATCTATATTGGGTTCTTGCATAAACTCAATAAAGCTTTTCTGACATCTAGGAATAGAGTCCTGAAGTTTCAGCCCGACATTACAAAAATAATCATTAAAATTGTCCACAATAATTTGTCTATCTTCTATGGAACAACCATTCACATTTATACATTTGATATTTGTAGTTTTTACTGATGGTTTAAAAAAACTTCTAATTACTTTCCATGTATTCTTAATATTATTAAATGTCATTTGAAATTGAGCAGAGTAATATTTTTTCTTAGCATCACGCAATACAGAAGTAAGAGTATTTCTATAATTAGAATACTTCCTCCACAAAAAATCAGAGCTTCTCCTTTTATATTGATAATACAACTTATTTTTCTTAGTAATTGACCTAGTTATCCATGGCATACGAGGAACTTTATTATAATTCTTCTTTTTATATTAAACCAGAGGAACATTCTCACCATACAACAACATGAATTTATTAAAGAAACTATCAAAAGCACTTTCAACATTTTGGTCTGAAAGAACATCATTCCAATCAGTTGCAATTAATGCCTCTCTCAATTTGGCAATATTTTCAGGAGTTCCTTTACGGACAGACGTACGGCCTCTAGGCTCACAATTCAATTTCACCGAAGACAACATACAGTATAGAGGAAAATGATCAGACATGTCAGATACTATAATTCCAGAAGGTGGATATGGTTGAACATTACAAAAAATATTGTCAATTAAAGTACTGGAAACTTCTGTTATTCTTGTTGGCTTAGTGATAAGGGGCAATAATGAGAAAGACATTAACATGTTTAGAAAAACATCAATTCGATTATCGTTATTACAAAGTAATAAATTCAAATTAAAGTCTCCCATAAGATAGAGTGACTTTCCAACTAAAAGTGGATTGTCTAAAATTGACTGAATTTCATTTACAAAACCATTAAAGTTACCATTTGGGGGCCTATATACAACTCCTATAAAATGATTCTTTTGACCAGGGTTATCAATCTCAACAAAGATAGTTTCTATATATGATCTGACATTATATCAAGATCGTGATGTATCTGGTATTCTACTTGGGGAAGGAATATACAAAGCAACACCTCCTCCACGTCTACTTTGTCTATTGTTGTTAACAAGATTAAAACCAGAAATAGAAAAAAGGCTCCTATCGGCTTCACTCGTAAACCATGTCTCAGTGACACCAAGTATTACACGTCCTAGATTGATATTATCAATGAATCTTAACATTTTGTCAAAATTCTTACAAACACTACGCATGTTTATATGAAGAAGAGTTAAGCCACTGTTCGCATGATTATATTTAGATGCTGTTTCAAAAAATTGATCTTCTGTATGATAATTACAATTAACATTAGGGATATCATAACCGTCACATAAATTGCTCATATTGTCTTCATAAAATCTACAAATTTCATCATCCATTTGAGCCATATTGATACTGAATGTGCAACATTACATGAAAGTATTGTATAGTAGGTGGCTGGCAATACAGACAAACATGCAAGAAAGGAGAAAACGTGACAAAAAAAAACTGCATAAGGTGAAATAAACTCATATTCAGCAATTCATGTAGGGTACTGAGAAAAGGGGAAACGGGAAAAGGAAACTGGGATAGACTCAGAAATGGGGAATGAAGAGAAGGGCAATGAAAAACAAGGAAAATTGTAACATCAAGCATAATGAAAAGAAAAAAAGTATATAAGATACAAGATACAAAAAACAAAGCATGTCAAAAAAGTACAAACTGTACATTAATAGCACACTTAAAACCAGACATGGTTATCTGACCATGGCAAGACAATGTAGGAACTAGTAAGTTAACTGTTAATTGTTCAAGTCTTCGAGAGAGTTGATCGTCCTTTTTAGTTCTTTGCCGTTTGTGGCAGGGACAAGGGCAATAACTCGCCCATCCCTGGTCCACGCAGCCTTGACCTCTTTACTGTCGCGGGTCGCCTTCAGCAGCCTCACGTTTTCTTTGGTCAAGTCCTCTTGAATTGACTTTCGTGTGCCGGCAAGCTTACATCTGCTGGCCAGAACTTCACTTCTCTTCCTGTATGATTGGAATTTGACAATAATTGGCGCAGGTGAATTGGCCTTTCCTGGATGTTTCGGCAGGACTCTCAGGCGATGACTTCTCTCGATGTCATGCTTTTCGAGACAAACACCAAGTGAGTCGTTCACCAGATGAATGACTGCCTGGTCAGTGACCTCATCTTGGCGCTCAGGGATCCCGAAGATACGAAGGCAGTTTCTTCGGGAGTACTGCTCCTGGGCATTAAGCTCTCTCTTCAGCAACTTAATTTGCTCATCTTTTCGGGATGAAGCAGCAACCAAGGTCTCCAGCTTCTTGCTAGCACTCTGGGCACCAGTTTGCAGATCCATGATCTTAGCCTCCTGGTGGTCAATGGCCTCCCTCAGATCGCACTCGCTCTTGTGGGCCTTTTGCTCCATAGCAATAAGCCGTGCCTCCTGCCTGTCGATGGTCACCTGCATCTCGGTCAGCCGGCTATCAATGTGGTTTTTCACTAGGTCAATAAACCTGTCATCACCGACAATATCAGCCAAGACAGATTGGACAAGTTGTGCTGCATCCACCTTGGAGCCATCATATTGTTAGCCATGTTGGGCATTGGTACGGAAAGCGTTTCACCAATCAGCAATTACAGAACACGATGGTCACCTGCATCTCGGTCAGCCGGCTATCAATGTGGTTTTTCACTAGGTCAATAACCTGTCATCACCGACAATATCAGCCAAGACAGATTGGACAAGTTGTGCTGCATCCACCTTGGAGCCATCATATTGTTAGCCATGTTGGGCATTGGTACGGAAAGCGTTTCACCAATCAGCAATTACAGAACAAGATCATAGGATGACAAGACACAATCCAAAGTGTACAGCAAATGTTAATCTTAGAGCACTGCTGGAGTAGGAAAGCTGTGATAAATTAAGATATTTGTGTCCTGAAACATATTTCCTCTAGATACTCGTAGTACGAATCAAACAGTGGTCATTATTTTGGCATAGTATGCCGTTATTGCCAAGTAACACAGAAGTGAGTGAATGGGAATGTAGTATAGGATAACCACATGACCGGAGTCTCTACTTACTGCCAAAGAGTCAAGATATCATTGAAGTAATTCAACAAAATTCCTCATAGCATTGTCTGGCAGGTGCTAAATGTTCCTTAGAAAAAAGCCATTACACGAGAAAGTCAGATTGTCTCCGCCACAAGAGAAATGAAGGATGACAAATTGATCGCGTGTGTGTTATCGTGTTGTGTGTTCGGGCACGAATTAGGGCTTATTAAGAGTCGAAAACGGTACAACGAATCATCTTCTTTCTCTAATAATTTAATGAAACATCAAAATGTCCACGCTTTGCGCGGGAGGGGGAAGCTTAATTTAGACAAGAATTAAGAGTCGGGCACGGTTCAACAATCGTCTACTTTCTCTAATAATTTAATGAAACGTCAAAACCTCCGCGCTTCGCGCGGAAGGGGGACAACTGAATTCAGATAAGGATTAAGAGTCAAAAACAGTACACCAAATAGGGCTTATTAGGAGTCGAAAACGGTACAAACGAATCGTCTTCTTTCTCTAATAATTTAATGAAACGTCAAAGCTTCCGCGCTTCGCGCGAGAGGGGGAAACTGATTTCAGATGAATAGGGAGTAATAAGAGTCAAAAACAGTACGACGAATTGTCTTCCTTTCTCTATATTGTGATGAAACGCCAAAAATTCAGCGCTTCGTGCGACGGGAGAAAACTTCATTTAGACGAGTCGAGAATGGTATAACAAATTGTCTTCTTTCTCTAATAATTTAATGAAACATCAAAATTTCCGCGCTTTACGCGGAGGGGAAAGCTTCATTCAGACAAGAATTAACAGTAGAGAACAGTACAGCAAATCGTCTTCTTTTCATAATAATTTAATGAAACGTCAAAGCTTTCGCGCGGGAGGGGGGACTTCATTTAGACAAGGATTAACAGTCAAGAAAGGTACAATAAATCGTCTTCTTTTCCTAATAATTTAGAGGCCTATCACCCACACCCCCTAATGAGCGCTCTTTAAGTGATTCGCTTGCTCACTACCGCCCTCCCTAAAATAAGATCCTAGCTCTGCGCCTGCATTAAAATATATCAGCTATGATGCTGACTAAGTTGACGAAATAATTTGTATATTTATGTCGTTGAGGAAAATGACCATTTGCGCATATGCAAGTACTTTAGATAGTCCATAGGAAAAACAATTTAGCCTTCGGCCCCGGGTTTATATAGGATTAAATTAGTAGATATTGGACATTTAATTTTGTCAATAATCGTTGGCCTCTACACCCCCCCCCCCCCCCCCCAATGAAAAAGGTCTAGCGACGCCCCTGCCTACAGAGGATTTTGTCCTGTTGGGGATTGGGGGAAAATGCAATGAATCATTGATAATTTATTGTATTTTCTTTGTTTATTTTTTTGGGTGGGGGCGTCGACGTACCCTAGCGCCCGCTGCGTACAGTCATGATTCATTGACTAAGCAATGGCCTCGTTACTGTGAGCCCCCGGGATAAAAAAACGTGTCGATGTGCTATATTAGTGCCTTTTTATGAGGCATTAATCCCCATTACTGTCAGCTACAACTTAAGGACGTACAATGTAGGTCCCCTAGTTGATTAGCATAGTAGCACACACATGCTTTTGCAATCACGCAAAACAAACACTTCCCATTGTCATTCAATATAATCTGAGAATGTATACTATTATCTAGATCTATTAGGAATGAATCATTGTCAAAATCATTCAAAAAATTGGGGTACAAAAAATTATTCCATCATTATGACCGACAGTGTATATCAACATTTTATTTTAAATCTAAATCACAATTGTGATATTCAGTAAAGTATTCTTCTACAAGTAGCGGACAATGAAAGATATCTTTGTCAGATCTATAACTTTCTGCATGATATGTGTTCGACAATAGTTTATTGGGGGTACCTACATTGCATATTAGCACACTTGCTCGTACGAGGTGTGGTAGGCCCGCATCTCTAAATATGATTCTGTCAATATCTGTTCTTTGTTCCTCTCCTGGGTTTGTAATCAGCATGCATTCATCATCCACTGTAGAGAAGCATCATCCTGCATAAGAGAAAACAATGTAGGTACTTCAATTAAAAAGTGATAATAATAGAAACACATCAACCATAATACATCCTTTAAACAGACTTCCATTAATCTTTTTTTGTGTTCTTCTTCATCTTCATTGCACAAGAAGTGAAAGTACCACTTACAAAAAAAAAGTAATGAGGGGTCTTGTGTTTACCCTACATGTACATGTATGATCATGTAGTGCCTTGAATGTGCATTAGATATCGTTCTTCTACACACAGGACCTCCAGTACATAAGGATAAAATTCCCTTTGTAAACAAAGAAAGGAAAGATATCAATATTTGTGTGCTAAGTGCAGAACTAGTATACAAATATACACTGCCTTGAGAGGTTCTGGTTAAAACTATGTGCAAGAGGTGACTCCAATAGTACTATTTGCTGAGGGGCGCAGCCCGAAGCAAATGGTACTTTTGGAGTCACCGAGGCCCATAGTTTAACCAGTACCTCGAATAGAAGGCATGGTATATTTGTTTTATATCCTGCATCAAAAATTTATTTAAAAAAAAAAATTAAAAAAAAAACATTTTTGGGAAAAAAAAATTTAGAAAAAAAAAAAATTTCCAAAAAATGTCAAGTTTTATCTAAAAAGATTTAAATTTTTTTATTTTCATTAAATTAAGATTTGAAGAAAAAAAATTCACATTTTTTTTTCAACTCCCAAATAGTAAACCAAAATAGTACTCTCATATAGTACTTTCTAAAAATAGGTCAAATATTTTTGGTCATGTAAAATAAAATATACCCTCCACTACATACGCTTGCAACATAAACTTAGTTCGATTTCCTTTTTAGTGAATTAATAGTTGGTCGTTTAATATTTGTGTGCTAAATATCCTGAAATTTTTTACCTGCATGGCACTTTCAGCTTCATCTTGCAAATATAAGTAATGTTGTAATGTCTACTCGTCAGTTAACTCCTTCCAGCTCTTCAGCAGTTTCAATCTGTTGGAACAAAAAGAAAACAAAATCAATATAACAATTACTCTCTAAAGTTTATGAATAATAACTCGTATTAATCACATTACATCTTAAGCGGGCTCCATATCGGGAGAGCTACAAATCTATCCTTTGTGAAGTAAACAAAAATATTAATCGTAGAGCTTGAGGATGAAAAAAAGAAAAGGAGGTAATGATTCAAACTGATGTTATATCCCGTGTTGTGAGATAAATGGAGTTCAGATAATCCCCTAAAATACTTGGAATCGCCAGGCTTATAACCTGTATTGACAATGTACGTACAGCGATAAAGCGGGCTCCGAAAATCTATGACGGGCTCCAATCCTCTACGAAGTATTAAAATAATCATAGAAAATGATGAAAAAAGGAAATGAGGTGACGGTTTGTTGAAACTCATATATAAATGCAGTGTTCTGAGATAAATGTAGTAAACTAAACTACTTGGAATCGCCAGGCTTAAAACTTGTATTGACAATGTACGTACAGCTATATCCGAAACTCTATGACGGGCTCCAATTCTTTGCGAAGTATTAAAATAATCATAGAAAATGATGAAAAAAGGAAAATGAGGTGACGATTTGTTGAAACTGATGTTAGATAAATTATGTAGTGTTCTGAGATAAATTATGTAGTGTTCTGAGATAATATGTAGTACAATATACCCCTAAAATACTTGGAATCGGCAGGCTTTAAACCTGCATTGATGTACGTACAGCTAAAGCGGGCTCCGAAACTCTTATGACGGGCTCCAATCAGTCTGCGAAGTATTAAAATAATCATAGAAAATGATGAAAAAAGGAAAATGAGGTGACGATTTTGATGAAACTTATAACAGTGTTCTGAGATAAATGGAATAACCCTTAAAAAACTTTGAATCGCCTGGCTTAAAACCTGTATTGATCTACGTACAGCTAAAGCGGGCTCCAATCCTCTATGAAGCATTAAAATAATCGTTAAATGATGAAAAAAGTAAAAGAAACTGATATTTATAATTATTATGATTAATTATAGAGATGATGAAAAAGGGGGAAAAACTAGAGACGATTTGTTGAAATGGATGTTATGTAGTGTTCTGCGATAAATGCTGTACAGATAAACCCCTAAAATACTTGGAATTGCTTGGCTTTAAACCTGTATTGACCAATGTACAGCTTTAGCGAGCTCCTCTTGAGTGAGGTATGACAAAAATAATAGAGATGATGATGAACAATACATACAATAAACAATCTCATACTTTCATTTTTTTTTTCAGACACATATATAACATTCCTCCCTTTTTAAAATGAGATTTTGGCGTTTACACCTGAAACCACTTCTACTTTAACCCACTAGACAAACTTAGTTTCAAAAACATAGCAACCATCAACTTCACTCTTACAAAACACTTATGAAAACACATGCAATCTAACTTTTGCATATGGCATGTTTTCTACATCATGTAAAATGAAAAAAAAACTGGCACAATACGTTTTATATTAGTGATCTGTTAAACCAAAGTTGTAAGTATCCACTACAAAATACCATTGTAATGACATCTATGACATGTGTCAGATAAAGTGCATACAGAATTCTTTTCCTTTTCTTTTACACATGTATGTTAAAAGAAATACATATATACAGGGTGTGATACAACTTTATATTATCTACACCAAACTACACTGTTCTCATTACATGGAGAAGTTACATCAGAGTTATGAATCACAGTCAATTAACTCCACCTAACAATGACCTAACTAACTCTACCTAGCAATCACCTAACTCAGATTCAGATTCCTGATCATTCAGATAACCAACTCCTTGAATTAAAAGAAGGTTCATCAATAAAGAATTCCACCATGACAATTAATATTGGTACAATGCATTTTTTTTACAAGACTTATTTATTGGTTTGAATGTGGCACCATACCCTGGTAATTCAAGATGTCGATCGAGGTACATTATTAACAATATGATTAATGTCCATGGTAATTACAAATTTTTTGCAATGAAAGAATTCAGGTGAGAGAATTGGCATATTTAATTTGCAGAGTATGATGGCGAGAAGAGAGGCAGCAGAGTACAAAATAAGCACACAAACTTTAAAAAAGCAAGCTACAAATCTCTAGTTTGTAATTCCGTTTCCGTGAAATTGCCCTACTACTTAAAGATATACTATGTCCCTTAATTTGCAGCCAACCTCAAATTCTTTAGAACTTTGCAGAAATTATGAATATGTCATGTATGTCCTCTCTGTGAAATTTAAACGTTAGCAGTTTCATAATATTCATATTATGCTAGGAAACCCATTTACTTGCTAGACTTCACTGTCAGACATTATTGAATGACTGACTGGCTTTTTTCTTCTTTGGTAATAACATACATAAACTAGATTTGTAATACTTGTTTGGAACAAGTATAGGTGGGCTGATCCAACAAAAAATTGAGACAAAATGAAGGGTACATCTGAGATAGCTTTTTGTCTCAGCTACAACATACTCGAAGGTCAGCGTAAATGAAGCTAAAACGACGTAGATATTGCTCGTGAAAGACGGGAATGTAGAATCAAGTTTTGAGAAAAAGTCTAACCCATAGAGAATACACGCAAAATGTGAAAAATTGACATGCCTCCTTTAATCGCAAAAATACGCCATGATGCCTTTGTCAAAGTGAAAAATTGTGAATACTGGATTTGTAGAGAATTGTCTCAGCTAGAACATATCAAAATTTTGAAGACAATCGATCAATTTTTACAAAGATACAATCAATTTTACATAAATATGCTGACGTCATAATATGCAAATTGAAATTTTGAGTTTGGAGGCCATTATGATGACGTCATGAGTTAATTGAGGGTCAAATGAAACATGAAATCATATCTCCGATTCATACTCAATCAAAATATGAAAAAAAATTGGGGTCACCTTGCATCCTAAAGAGCTACAATGGATTTTGCATAGGCATGTTTTTGCCCATATATGCTATGTATTACAAGAGCTCGCGCGCACGGAAATTTATGTTTAACGGTCGATCATTCCGTCATTAATAGTCATAAAGAGATAAACATGCTATCAATTTGTTTGTAAAAATATGTGGAATATTATGAAAGAAAAAAAAATGGGGATTCTATGTTGTGTAATTGTTTAACGCGCGCGCATGCGCGCAATTTTTTATAGAATGCTTAGAATGGCCTAAAACGTATGCAAAATGATTTTAAGACGATTTTGAGCATTTCAAAATTTTGCGTGCGCATTGACGGGCGGACGTACGCGCACGCGCGCGTTCTTTGACCTGAAATTGACCGGACGGATATTGACCTTGATCATGATAAATATGAATGAGAAATAGCTTTCGGTTATGAAGATATGATCATGAGTTGATTTTCGTAAAATTTTACAAAATGGCGCCTAGATGACGTCATCAGTCAAGGTCAAAGTTGAAAAAATTTCTGTGCTTTGTACATATGCCTATACATATGTGTGCCAAATTTCAAGGCATTTGATCCAGCCATTTTCAAGTTATCTTGTCCACAAAAAAGTGGTTAGAAATAAGAAAAATAAAGAATAAATAAATAAATAAATAAATACAGGCAATTCTAACGAAATTATAAGGTGGTCTGTACGTTATACAGCCCACCTGATGAGCTGTAAAGGGTACATGAGCATTTGTTTACATCATTAACCCACTTTTTGTAATGGCAAAAAATAAAATTGATTGGATCTTTCCGCAGTATAAAACGTACGATCATTCGGTACAATGGTCTGAAAATCAAGATGATTACTTATTGGGTCTATAGCTCCTAAGTCGATTCATTATTTTCCCACTTAAAGACATTTTCAAGCCCCCCTTATTCTAGGAAAGTTCTAAATTAGTATTATCTTTCAAATACCGTTGGAATTTAACCTTTTCATTTTTTGGGGCTGCAAATGGGACATAGTACCTTTAACATGTTTTTAATCAAAAATAAATAAATAAAAGTTATGTCACTTGCATAAAAAAGAATGAACATGGGCTAAATATAGAGTTGAGCCCCAGAAATCCGATAGAGGTTATGTTGAAATTGATGGAATGTAAAGTCTTTGAAGAGGAATATCGCCTTGTATTATATAGTATAATTGCATCATATTTTTTGTATACACTGAGTTTCTACTGTAATTATATGACATTACATTGAACTTTTATTTCCCCTCTATCCATCTGTCAAATAAACAGTTTTTCTGAATCCTACTGATATCTTCACATTTGAAAACATACATCAGCTTAATACATTTGAAAATAAGTTTAAAATACCTCCATTGTTTTTACTTCTAGATTCAGTAACATCAAAATAATAGTGATCCAAGCAAAATATCACATTGGTATTTAAAAAATACAAAAAATTTAAAGGAATGTTTGATACTACTAATAATAAACTTCTTTCAATCTAGCGCAGAATTATAAATGCTTTGGATGCACTTCACCACAATCAATAAAGCAACATATTACATGGTTAGTCTGAAGATTTGAATATACATGTAATAGCAAATAGTATAAAATGATGAAAAGAAAATAAGAAACAATCTAAATGGTATAAAGTGAGCTCGTATCCTTCTTCACATTAAGAATATTCTCCCTTCAAAATGATATCCTTAATTATTTTACTATTAACTTCTCATTGTTTATACCATGATACAGGTGTGCTATATATTACAAAGAAAAATGTTAACTTCTTTCCTTTTCTTTTTTAAACTTCAGAAAAATACTTATTTCTATCCTTCATTCGTAAAACGATTTGGTATACAAAATTAACAAGTTAGGGTCGCACATTTATTTAGGCCCCAAACGATTAATAACTTCAATTCAAGAGTTGTAACGTAAATATAGGCTCACATACCACCGATATCAAATCACCACATCATATTCTATGCATTATATTCTTTGCATCATATTCTTTGCATCATAATCTACTTGTGGGACCGAATAACAAACTCATGAAAAATTTGGTAAGCCTAGAGATTATGGTATTAACAATAGTTACAGGGCCATAATTTGGGGTAATTTCATTTCCGATCCGTGCCTAAAGTTCATAATTAAATTCTGATGGTTATGAAAGTTAGTTAAATATTACGAAAATGTCAATATTTGTGTTTTTAGCTGGTACTTTCAAAGTATTTTTCTATGAGATATACTATACATAGCTAGCTCGTATCAGATAGAGTATGTATTATATTTTAAATTTGTTTCATTTGCTCGTGTATCTTTATGTATTTTCTAATTGTTTTACATCAAAATCCACCATTTTAGAGCTTACACAAGAAATACCCTAGACACAGTCATTCCGGTAAAACACACATTTCATCCCTGTGGAAAAATGAACTACCGGTAGTTAAGCACACTCCTGCACAGGAGATAGGGGAAAACAATGGCCATTGATCGCCTTCTGCACTTCATCAAGTTAAAATTTGAGTTCTGAAATACAATTTGTATTTTATAGCAACCGGCGAGCAATTAATACTTCATTAAAACAAATAATAAAATCTTCCAAAAGAGGAATTGTTGATATACGTTGTCGCTTGACGATCCATGGAAGATTTTGACCCCAAAACATCATTAGAAGTTTACATTCCCCACGGAGAGTACCTTTCCTTGCAGCTGGAGAGTAGCGACAAACAGTTATGAATTATGCATGTATGTAGATAAGATGAGCCAAATTTTGAGTCGATTGACCAATCAGGGGCCGTTTGCTGCTCCTAAAGCTCTAAAATCATGAATGCAAATCGTGATCAACCGAGAGGACCGACTTGGAAGTGTGCCAAACTTTCTGTCCATCGCTTCACTACAGACACTAGGGCGTTTTGCAAACACGACGGAAAAGGTGAAGGCGATGGTAACGCGAGCGAAAAAACGATCTGTGCATGCTCGAACCGGAATTTTTACGATTGACGTGGCCATGATAGCGTTTGTTCCCTAAACAAGACGGAAGAGCTGTATCGCCCAAATTCCTCATCGTCTATGCTTCCGTCGTCTTTGCGAAAACGCTTTATTGTGTGCTGGCTATATGCTGACAGTGAGCGAACCTCGCGTTCAACGAGATTACATTTCATTTTGAAGTGCCTACTTATACAGGGCACTGCAGGTGCATCCACCGTCCACAGACGTCGCATTTAGCCCATGTCGATGCCGTCTTGCCCCTTACATTCTTGCTGGAGCAAGACGGCATGTCACACTCTGCATCACCCTGCAGAGAGGTTTTGGCGTGTGTAATGAGAGTGTTCCAAACATGATTTCTCATTATATCTCCATACTTCCCCATTTTTATTGTATGAAATCCTTGCACCAGAGACAGAGCATTCTGAAATGCAAAATAAAGCAAGGAGAGAGAAATTAAAACAGAAATAGAATTTTATCTCATTTGCAAGTACATAAATCAAAATATATATTTTTTACTTCAACAAAAAAATATTTTTGCTCAAAGAACTTCCCTATATATAATGCTTTATAAACTTGGATATTTTATTCTACCTCAACCCACCAATCCCATACATCAAATACCGATAGATTGATTCTCAACCCAAGGAGTCAAAATTTATGCCTACACCCTTGTAAGATCAGAATTTATTTCAATTTTCCCCCTCATATTGTCTCCAAAATCTTGTCAAATCATTTAACTCCACTATGCATACGTGAGACTAGTTTGATGTCAATCTGTCAAAAGCTTCCAAAGTTTTTACACAAATTGTATTTGGTGACCCCTGTGACCTTAACTTTGATCCAGTGACCCCAAAATGTAGACAGATTGTCGGCCATCCACATTGGACCTGCTATGCAGTTTCATGAAAATCTGTTCAATATGGTTCCATTAAAATATCATGTACACAAGTTATTTTCACATTTTTATTAACCTCTGACCTAACAATTTTTACTTCATGACCCTATAATGTAATAATGTAATTAGCTCATGGGTAAAAAATAATGAATCTAGCTATGAAGTTTTATAAAAATATGTCCATTGCTTCTTGAACTGCAGGTATCACGTTCACAAGTTTGTATGGAGAGACGACCCTAAAACAGGCATAACAAAAGTCAATCAATCTAAGCAGGATGGTCTTCAAGTAATTCTGACCTATTAATAGTTTTGGTTTCCTATCATCCATACTATGAAATGAGTTCCACACAGAATATCATTAACAAATATCTCACCAACATCACAAAAGAGCAACAAGAATGCCCATCACTCTGCCTTGCAGATTGGGTATGTCCAACCTTCCACTCTTTTCCTTGAAGGTCACCAGTTTCATTGGTTCGGTACTCCATGTATCTCCTGTGATTATTCACCAACATCCAGAAAAAAAAGGGATAAAACCAAACAGAAGTGATTGAATCATTTTTTTTAAACATCCCAAAGGAAAATATGAAACAACTCTGAATAATCCTTAAATTTAATTAAACATATATAAATAAATTAATCTTAGGTTGCAAAATAATGATTAAAGGCAGTCAATAAGCGGCATTTTTTTGCTGTCCCAAGAAAACATATGTATATGTATCTATTCAATTGTAGCACATATAAGAACATGCGTCTAATAATATATCAAATGCACTGAAATAATTCATATATTCTTATGAGAAAATTGCAGTTTATAGAATTTACAGTACACAACATTGGGAAGAGCCTTCGCAAGTGACGTCACAAAGGTAATTTGTTTTTTATACTTGGTTGGATTTTCCGTCAAACCTTCATTGATATTTTTCTTTCACTTTTCTGCTTTTATTAAAATAATTTATATTTTGGGGTGGACTTCCCTTTTAATGGTAAGAAATACTACTATATTAGATAGCTTAGACAGATACCGAGATGTGATTGGTCCAGAGCTCGTCCATGTGATATCAATTGCGAGGATCCAAATTGTTATATTTTCCTGGCCGGTCACTTTTCAGTGTTATATTTTACCGGCTGGTGAAATGAATATATTTTTAATCAATGCATGTCGCCCTCTTGAGGACTGTATGTCACCAATTACACACATTACACCATCGAGGGTCATTTTATTTTTTCAATATTTTTTTTTCATGAATTTTTTTTTCCCTAGAAATGATTTATTGGGTAATTTTTTTTTTAATAATTTTTTTTTGTTTCCCGAAAAATGCTTCCAAAAAATGCTTTTTTGGGTAAGCATTTTTTTTTCGATTTTTTTTTTTAAAGATAATCTCAACAGATTATTTTTCTGTAATTTTAATTGTCCCCTAAAAAAAAAAAAAAAAATTGGGGGCAAAAAAAAACATGAGACCCCCCCCCCCCCACAAAAAAAAAAACCCAAGGCTATCTAATATAACAGTTATTGACTGGCAGGGGGTATATAACATTCTTTGGACCTGAAGGGAGTTATATTTTCCCTCTGGAAAATATAACCACTTGGGAAATATAACTCCCTTCAGCGGTCCAAATAATGTTATATTACACCCCCTGCCAGTCAATAACTGTATAATGCTTACATGAACTTTTCAAGGATGAACTTGGATGTATCCGGTCTAGGAAGCGAGTCCAATATTGACACTTCTCCCTTGGTGACATCTGCAGCTACAAGAACCCAGTGTGATTGATTAACATTGACTGGAAGGAATAACCATCTGTACTTCAGTAGGTTGACCTGTGCACATAGTTTAAAAAACAATTCATATTTCATTGAAAATATAAATACATGTATCAGTAGATTAACTGTAGTAATAGTCCTAAGAACAAAATTAAACAATTAAATACCTGTAGATGGACCTTTTACTGCGTGCATAGTCTAAAATGATGCCTCCGCCATGGAGCAATTTTACAAAACAGACTGATTTTTATGCCTCCGCCACCGAAGGTGGTGCCGGAGGCATCATGTTTTCGGGTTGTCCGTCCGTACGTCCGTACGTCCGTCCCGTTTGACCGTTATCACAATATCTCAAGAACCATTTAAGATTTAAACTTAAGACTCGGGAATAGTATTTATCACCATAGGAAGACGATCTGATTAGATTTTGGAGTACGTAGGTCAAAGGTCACAGGTCACAGAGGTCAACTTATGAAATTCCTTGTATTGAGTTTGTTAGCGCGATATCTCAAGAACCATTTGAGATTTAAACTTCAAACTTAAGGATAGTATGTATCACCATAGGAAGACGATCTGATTAGATTTTGGAGCACGTATGTCAAAGGTCAAGGGTCACAGAGGTCAACTTATGAAATTCCATACATTGAGATTGTTATCATGATATCTCAAGAACCACTGGAGATTTAAACTTCAAACTTAGTGATAGTGTGTATCACTATAGGAAAACAATCTGATTACATTTTGGAGCACGTAGGTCAAAGGTCAAGGGTCATAGAGGTCAACTTATGAAATTCCATACATTGAGATTGTTATCATGATATCTCAAGAACCACTGGAGATGTAAAAACTTCAAACTTAAGGATAGTATGTATCACCATAGGAAGACGATCTGATTAGATTTTGGAGCACGTAGGTCAAAGGTCAAGGGTCACAGAGGTCAACTTATGAAATTCCATACATTGAGATCGTTATCGCGATATCTCAAGAACCACTGGAGAATTTTCACTTCAAACTTAATGATAGTATGTATCACCATATCATAATATCTCAAGAACCACTGGAGATTTAAACTTCAAACTTAATGATAGTGTGTATCACCATAGGAAGACAATCTGAATAGATTTTGGAGCACGTAGGTCAAAGGTCAAGGGTCACAGAGGTCAACTTATGAAATTCCATACATTGAGATTGTTATCATGATATCTCAAGAACCACTGGAGATTTAAACTTTAAACTTGTTTAAATTGCTCTATGGCGGAGGCATCATTTTCGACTGCGCGCAGTCAAAATTCCATCTAGTTTCCTCATATTTTGATTTTCAACGTAAACACAACGTACACGTAAACTTTCTTCAATATTATGGCTTTTGTCAGTTATCTGATTTGGTTTTAATAAAAATGTCATACCAAAGGTCGTTGATCCTACATGTATCATCCCGTAAGCATTGTTATTAATAATAAAAGTGAAAAAAGTTAGGCACATATATACTATTCTTTATTGAAGCATAAGATAAAGCAATGTAAAAGTCTTACAAAGTGGAAACAGGACTTTGACCTTGACAATACTGTATGGAGTTCTTATTACCTTCTTCCCTTTAATTCAATTGTCGATGTTAACATGAGGTGGTTTCAGTTCAAGATACTGAATAGAATTCTTTATATGAAAGATGCTTTGTTCAAATTTGAATTAGTTAAAGATAACTTATGTACATTTTGTTATAACAGTGTAGAAATGATTATGCATAGATTTTGTTACTGTATTCATTTAAACAAAATATGGTCAAAACTTGAGTATTGGCTGTCCCGTAATAATGTATCGTATTTTGAAGTCATGTCTAAATTAGTCATGACTGAAGTTAAACAACTGTTTAGTTAGACACGACTTAACTACAAAGTTGTGCTTATAACTTTAATCACAACTTCTGCTCATGCCCTGTAGGTGTTAATTCTGACATTCCCGCAGACGATAGACTCATGCAATGCGCATGCGTGCGCGCACCAGATAAATAAATTTATGCGCACACCTAGCTGTGCGCATGCTAGTTATGTGATCGTGACGTCATGACTAGACATGTACTGTAGGCCTACCAGTATGTACTGCACTGGCCCACAGTACAACCACACTAATCACTTATCAGTGCCTCAGTGCCTTAGAATATCCAGAAAAGAAACTTCTCCAACAGAATGGATAGTCTATTATAGAGTATGGAATTTCCAAGATGTCACCATTAGATAAGAATAGTTAATATTATTGAGAAAAAAAATCAGGCTACACAAGAAAAAATCCTGCAAAACGTATTTGAAATTGTAGAGGATGCATGTACCATTGTTCTCCCCTGCAAGTTTGGGGTCAGCAGGTAGAGTGTACCGTACACTTTGAAACGCACCAGAATCGCGCCCTTAAACAGGACTTAAACAACCCCTCGCAGTCATCTAAAGTTAAACAGGACTTAGACAGGACTTTAACTTTTAACTCCTGTTTAACTTGATTTAATCACAACTTCAGAATGCAAACTAGATGGAATTCGACTGCGCGCAGTTGAAAATGATGCCTCCATCATAGAGCAATTTTACAAACCAAAACAGAAGAAATTTTTCGGATTCAAGTTCAATTGTAATCCATTGACAGGTTCTCAGAATATCGTGATTACAAGCAATTTCTCATATACATATATGACCCTTTGATCTTTGACCTCATGACCCTAAAATCTACTCAGTTCATTGGCTGTGCAAGATGTCCTGAGTTAAAAAGTAATCCATCTGTCAGTTCTAATGAGAATGCGTTCACAAGCTATTTTTGCATACATAATGAGCCCATGATCTTTGACCTTTGACCTTATGAACCAAGAATCTACTCAGTTCATTGGCTCTGCAAGTAACATACATGAACTAATTTTGGCAGGAATCCATCAATCGGTTCTTGAGATAACGCGATCACAAGCTGTTATTGCATACATAATGTGTGCTGTGGCCTTTGACCTTTGACCTCATGACCACTAAATCTAATCAGTTCATCGGCTCTGCAAGTAACATACATGACCTAAGTTTGGCAGCAATCCATCAATCGGTTCTTGAGATAACGCGATCACAAGCTGATTATGCATACATAATGAGCCCTGTGACCTTTGACCTTTAACCTCATGACCCAAAATCTAATCAGTTCATTGGCTCTGCAAGATACATACATGACCAAAGTTTGGCAGGAATCCATCAATCGGTTCTTCAGATAACGCGATCACGAGCTGTTTTTGCATACCTAATGAGCCCTGTGACCTTTGACCTTTGACCTCGTGACCCCAAAATCTAATCAGTTCATCGGCTCTGCAAGATACATACATGACCAAAGTTTGGCAGGAATCCATCAATCGGTTCTTCAGATAACGCGATCACAAGAACGGGACGTACGTACGTACGTATGTACGTACGTACGTCCCGTACGGACAACCCGAAAACATAATGCCTCTGGCTACTTCGTAACGGAGGCATAAAAAAGTTAGTCACGACTTTGTGACTAATGTTAGACTGAACTTCGACAACTGTTTAGTTAAACAGGAGCTAGACAAGATTTCAGAATACGGGCCATTAAGTTTAGAAATCAAAATAAGTTGTTTTGGTTTCATGGTAATAATAACAGTGCCCTCAACTGTATTATGATTATAGTAAGGAAAGAAATTTTTGCAGCCAAAAGCAAACAGTGTTTGCCAGTTTTTGAACACATAATATCAACAATAGAGTGTTATTATAACACTAGCAGGACCCGCGGAAATCAGCGGGATTCTAGAGGGGGGCGGGGGTGTAAATAAGTATATAGAGACTGTCTAAATTAAAACCACCAAGAACTTTATTCGCCATTTAGGCCATTACAAAAAATATACATGTTTAGCGTCCCGCCCGTTTCCTTTTTAGGGGCCGCCTCCTATTTTTTAATTTTTTTAATTTTTTAATTTTTTTTTAAAATTTTCTTTTTTTTTTAAAGAAAAAAACACGAAAAACACAGCTAAAATGGATGTATTTCTGATTAAAAAAAAAAAAAAATTGTCGGCCGCCATCTTGAAAAATAGCCCGAATGTCAGGGAAAATGTACGGAGCGACCATTTTAAGCGGCCATTTTGAAAAAAAAAAAAAAAAAAAAGGGCCTCCTTCCTATTTTTCAAAAAAACAGGATGCTAAACATAGTTTTTTTTTTATTTGGCCTTATATAAAAATTTAAAAAACAATCCAACTGTACCGGTAGTTATTCTATAAGCAACTGGAAATGCGTAGAGTTCCGTAGTGTGGCGTACCGACTACGAAGAAATTAGGCTGCGTATTAATGGGAAAATAGTCCCTGCGTAGGTTATGCGTAGGCTGGGGTACAGGTTTGCTTATGGTTGCTTACTGTGTGGAAAGCTTTTACTGCTTTGTCGATCTGGCGTAGGGTAGCGTACTGTTGGGTAGGCATGTAGCGTAGTGTTGCGTAAAAAGGCGTACTTTTTGCGTCAAGTTTCTACGCCGAAAGTACGCGAAAAAAATTAAACATGTTGAATTGTTTTCGTTCATCTTGCGTACCCCTTTCCGTCCCTCAGCATAAGTAACGTAGGCAAGCGTAGATGGTACGCAACACTACGCAACACTACGTATTGACCCCACGCCAATTAGTGACCTGCCAGTGTCACAAATAAAGTTTTAAAAATATGCTCATCTGACCCTAATTAAATGCCTAAAACCCCTGAGCTTTCGGGGGGTTATGGCCCCTTGAAACCCGTGGACCCCATGCCTATATTATATATACACTCAACTCGCTGCGATCTGATCTCTCCCCCCCCCCCCCCCCCCCCACTTTGAAGAACGTTTCTTGGAGCCTGCATGTAACATGCAAGAATGGTACATGGAGATGCATATTTTCTTTCTGCAACCCCCCATCACCCCCCCAAACGATTTTACTCATTACGTACCGGTAACTGTTTTGCAATGCATGAAGTCACGTACTTCTGTCTGGTTGAGTACAATTCATAACCTTATTTAAAATTAATGCTTTCTTGTAATTTACTGTAGATATAAGACAATAATAGTCTCCGATGG